TATGAAACACAGCTCACACAGAAGTCCCTTTCAATCCAAGCAGGTTTCAACGTGGCAAATCAAATTAGTAGTTGCAAAGTTACTTGTAGTTAGTAGAAGGTCTAAAGTGAACTATCAAAATAAAGTGTTGGCAAAACTTAAGGGAGTCTTTCATCCTCATGCAACATTCCATGGGTTCTCATTGAAATAACTAGATTTTGCCCATGAAAATTTGCAGAACAACGTTAAATGTGAGTGCACATCACAACACAGTTTTTTTGTGGTAAAGCACTGCACGATCACACAAAGTTCTGCAGTTTTTCTGTGAATCCACCCAGCCTGTGTCCTCAGACCACAGGTCATCCAAATCTCTTCATCCCACGGGTGTTTAGAGGAACTGCTCAACTGAATCTCAGCTGAATGTTTGAGACGTCTAGAGATGAATGCTTTCTTGACAGTGGCTTAACACACTTGACTGCTGGGTTGGCACAGAGTAAGGACGATTTCAGCTGTTGTTAGTGATTTAAAGTGACGGTTAACAAGAGAAAACAGAATAGAGCACATGCTGTTCAGCTTTGACTTTGAAAAGATAAAGGTGTATGTTTTAGAAAATATTGCGGCATACCTTTGCAATCATAATTAAAAAAAAAAAAACTATTTATGCAAGATAATATCTGATGTGATGTTTAAAGTATAAAAGGGTCTTAAAGAATGTGGGAAAGAATAGAACGATATTTGAAGAATTTCTAAACTAAAACATTGTTGTAGAACAATGGCACAACCAGCAGGCTTAAATTAACCTTTTTTTGGCCTTATGACAGATGTAATTACTCAATTGAAGGTATACCAAGCTATCTCCTCAGTTTAATCATTATCATCTTCTATATGTTTGACATCTTTCACGTTTAAGCTCCATTAAGCTAAAAGTGTCTCGTTACCGTTGAATCCATATCGCTAAAGGACTGTCTGCATTTTATTTTTTAAATAAGAAATATTAAAATAGTTGAATTACATTCTAAGTCACTACAAGGAAATGTATCAAATATAATTCTAACATATTCCTACAATGCATGTTATTGGAACATGTAAATATCAGACACTGGCATTACATTTGCTTTTCATGCATTTGAGCTGAACTTTGACATTCACCAAAGACATTTTTTTTGTGATTTTAGCAGCTTATTCTACAAACATTAGGAATAAAAACATACAATACATTGAACGTCACCATCGATGCAAATGAAGTGATATTTTTCTTTATCAGCCAGAGCCAGCTCATGCCTTTTTCTCATGCTCTTCTCCTTCCAGACACCTTCAATACTGCAAATGCTTTAGATTTCACTGAGCAATGAGCTGGCTTGTGTTGATAGCTACAGATGAAGATAAAAAAGTGGAGAATGCAAGATCCTATATTGCATTGCCAATTGTTCTGGACGATTGCTCTGGGAATAAGCATGAGATGAGATGGTTTTTCTCTAGAGCTCTCTCTACAGACTAAATGTGATTCATAGACATTTACATAACTGTCAATTACCTGGGAAAAACGGAGATCAAATGGTCTGCCTTGGGAATGACTAAAATGTGTTTTAAATGAGTCTTTTCTCTTTTTTTCTGAATTCCATTTTATAGTGTTCTTTTGTTCTAGGGCAAAAGGAAGAATTTAATTCAATGTTGATACCATACTTGTGTGGCCTGTCCAATTAACAATTAACAAAAAAAAAAATCTGCAAATACATCCTCAAATACCATGTATGGTTAAAAGACTTTCCTGGGGTCTTAATCTGCAGTGGTTTTGAGGTTGAGCTTCATGCCAACCGGACATACAACTGGGAGTAATAAATGGAGCTGTAATAAGTGTAGTCTGTGAAAACGCTCCTCTCCTTTGGGAAATCACATCTCTCCAGCCTTTCACAAAAACACCTCCACCCACAACCTGTGGATATGAGATCTGCACTTGCATAACTATTATATAATACAAGCTGTGTTCGTGTTAATAACTGTAGCTGTTATGTTGCGCCTCATTGACCTGCACCATGCCTAGATTAAGTTTTATGATTGAAGTTTTAAGATGTCTTTGCTGTGTTTTGAGTCATATGTAAATTATAAACTATAAATTGCATTTCAAAAACAATATACCTACATATTTGGTGCTTTCTTTTCCATTGCATAGTTTTGCTTATTTTGTTTATTCATTCCATCTGATATATACACAATACGGAAATGGTGATGGAGTGCTTTGAAAGCTTTGACATTAGTCCAAAAAGCACGAACAATTTATATTTACTGTTATTCTCTTAGCAAAGCATTCTAATTAATCTGATTTATTAAGACAGAATTATTGTGCTACCTTGAATAAATATTTGGAACAAAAATGTTTGCACTTGCTGCATAACATTAAGTGTTTCTTACATGATGTTGCCTCAGGGTAAACTAATTTTTCACTTTACAAGCACATGATGCAAGCAAGATGGCAGCAAAATGGTTGATAATAAAGAGATAGGGGAGGGAAGGGGAGGAGAAGGGAAGGGGAAGGGGGGTGGGGTGTCTTAGTATATCTCCATAACCATGTTTGAATGATTGTTAATAAAATACATTTTTGGACACATTTACATAAATTTGCCCTTTTAGCAGATCCTTTTACTTATTTAAAATGAATGTTAAGATTGGAGGAATACAAAATAATAATAATAATAATAATAAAATCACCACAAGGTGATGTGCTTTGAAGTTCTTTGATGGATGAGTGGATAGAAAATGTTCAATAGACACTATGCAATACAATAAACTGCACAATACACTGTTCACATATGAACTACATGAGCATGAGTGCAATCACATAAATGTGTGTTTGATACTGCTTTTATACAACTGTATGATGGAACAAGAATGTACAAGTAAATAAATAAGGAAAACCCAAAGAGAGTCTTAAAAAACTCTTGTGTGTGAAACCACCTTTTTTCATCACAGATTCCAAAAAAAACATTGATACTTGTTAAAGTGACGTGACATGTGGCCAAGTATGGTGACCCATACTAGGAATTAGTGCTCTGCATTTACCCATCCAAAGTGCACACACACAGCAGTGAACACACACACACCGTGAACATACACCCGGAGCAGTGGGCAGCCATTTATGCTGCGGCGCCCGGGGAGCAGTTGGGGGTTCAGTGCCTTGCTCAAGGGCACCTCAGTCGTGGTATTGAAGGTGGGAGAGAGCGCTGTGCATTCACTCCCCCCACCTACAATCCCTGCCGGTACGAGACTCGAACCCGCAACCTTTGGGTTACAAGTCTGACTTTGTAACCATTAGGCCACAACTTCCCCAACTACTTAAACAGGTGCAAGCCTCTGTTACTAATTCTAAAATGCCACTTTATAATTACCAATGATGGCTTGGGCTGCGCTACAGTATTTACAGTTATAGGGTATTATGTAAAATAGAGAGTGGGAAAGATCCACTGAGCATGCGTGTTCTGAGCATGGGTCTGATAGAGCTTTCATTCTTTGCCGTGTTCACAGAGGAAAGCAATATCTTTGTCATAGTATCCTTTCAATGACTAAGGTGATTTCAAATGATTGGCATCAGCACTGGCTAGTGCACAAATAATATATTTTTCATCCTTGTTCTCAATGAAGTGAAGCAACAGTTGGTTCCTGATGTTTCATTACTGAATGAATCTGTGTTATTGAGTGAATTTGTTGAATAGTCTGCTGACTGCTGACCCAATGCTGTTCACTCAATGACTCGAGACTTGACTAGACTTGCATGAACTCGACAATAAAGTCCTCTGCATTTAACCCATCAAAGTGCACACACAGCATTGAGTAGAGAACACTCACTGCAGCTGGCAACCATTTTTGATACCATGCCTAGGGAGCAATTGGGGGTTAGATGCCTCAGTTGTGGGTAACAATTTCATAATGTGCAAGATGAGAACAATTGGACCAAAGTCCATAAGGGTTCTTGGACACTGGTTTGGCACCAGAACAAAAAGTGTTCTGAGCATTTTACCCAGTACAATGATAGAGAACAGATGCTACAGTATTCCAAATACCTGGTTAGCACATGTCCTTGGTCTATCAGGCCACACAGAATATCCCAGTTTTTTCCAACCCTGTTCTTGAAGGCACACCAACAGTACACTTTTTGAACTCTTCCTAATCAAACAGACCAGATTGAACTCTTTAGTTTGTTAGTAGAGACTCTAAGACATTCAACATGTGTACTTGCCTGGTTGATGTTTCCAGGGATCGAGTCACAAGAATTAAAAGAGGTAGTAAAGAAAGAAAACTGATCAAATGCCAGCTCAAAAATCAGCTGAAAAAATATTCAGCTCACTAACCTTTGGTTCCTGCCAGATGTGAATGGCATTAGTGTTCTGAATTATTCTGCCCAGTGAGTTTCTGAATAGTGAGAACAGAAAGAGCCATGCACTGATCCTTGAGGTACCCCATGGTTAGCTGATGTGATCTCCTTTTCTCTAAAATAAGTTGGACCTAACCTAAAACCTACCTAAAAGTGTGGTTCCAGTTATGTCGAGTTTATAGACAGAGTACAGAAGGGTCTGGTGTTTCAAAGGCAGCAGGTCTTGCAAAATAAGAATGAATTGGAGACAGGTCACTTGGATGGCATTGAATTTACCCAACTACTAACCAAACTTTCGACTACTAACTGTTTTTGAGGTGAAAATTAGTACTACCACGTTTAGCTGCTATCTATTCTCTGCAGGCCTATCAGCCTATCCTCACAGGCAGGGTTTGTGAGTGAAACCAGAGCACCTGGTGATTTGAGACAGATTTGCATGTTCTCCTCACAGACAAAGGGAGAACATGCAACTCCTCACTGAAAGTTTTCCTAGCTCAGCTGGTACCCGAACCAAGGACTTTCTTGCTGTGAGGCGACAGTTCTACCCACTTAGCCACTGTGCCACTCCAATTTTATAAACTGCAAAGTATAAGACCACGTTAGCCAACCTATACATGTGTCCTAACAAACTGCTCTGTTGTTTCTGTGTCTGCAGATACACAAAGCTGAAAACTGCCACCAATATCTACATCTTCAATTTGGCACTGGCAGATGCTCTGGCCACTAGTACACTTCCATTCCAGAGCGCCAAGTATCTTATGAACACCTGGCCTTTTGGTGAGCTTCTATGTAAAATCGTCATAGCTATTGACTACTATAACATGTTTACCAGTATCTTCACCCTCACTATGATGAGTGTGGACCGTTACATTGCCGTGTGCCACCCTGTGAGTGCGCTGGAGTTTCGTACCCCCATCAACGCCAAAATCATCAATGTGTGCATCTGGATTCTTTCCTCTGCTGTTGGAGTGCCAATCATGATAATGGCAGTTACCAGAGTGACAAACCAAGGTGGGTACGTCTTTAAAAGCAAGATTTTTTAGAAAGCAAGTTGTATTTGTTGGAAGATGTGTCTTGATAAAACCAAGCAATGAAAAGTTAACATTCTTTAAAATCTAATTATAATTCTGATTCTGATTCTAGAACTGTTTAAATTTATTCCATAACAGGTGCAACTGTCTGCATGCTGAAGTTCCCTGATCCAGACTGGTACTGGGACACAGTGACAAAGATTTGTGTATTTATCTTTGCATTTGTGGTACCAGTGCTAGTCATCACGATCTGCTATGGTCTGATGATCCTACGTTTGAGAAGTGTCCGTCTTCTCTCAGGCTCTAAGGAGAAGGACAGAAGCATGCGTAGAATCACTCGAATGGTCTTGGTAGTGGTGGCTGCCTTCATTATCTGCTGGACACCTATCCACATCTTCATCATTGTCAAAACACTTGTAGACGTCAACCAGAAGAGCCCCTTTGTGATTGCCAGTTGGCACCTGTGTATCGCACTCGGCTATACCAATAGCAGCCTCAATCCTGTCCTCTACGCTTTCCTGGATGAGAATTTCAAGAGATGCTTCCGAGACTTCTGCCCACCCTTCCGAACCAGAGCTGACCAGAATAGCCTTAACCGAGCGAGGAATGCCACAAGGGAGCCAGTGTCAGTTTGTGCACCTTCGGAGACAGGAAAGAAGCCAGTATGACTAGGCCTGGAGAGGATCCCACGGGGGTCCCAGTCCAGAAGAGTTCAGCAGGACCTGCAATCTGAGGTCACTCAAATCTCCACTACTGAATTCTAGTAAAAGAATGGAAGAGCCACTTCTTATATTTTGGAAAGCATTCAGCTCCACCGTACTCAATACTGTCTCAAGTTTTGCATATTCAGAAGATAACCAGAGAAACTGAGTTAAGCAGCTCCTCTCCTGCACCATTTTTTTTTTACTTTGTATTGCGGATTGGCCCCAGTATTTCTTTCGGAAGAAATGCTAACACAGTGATGAGCCTCTTCTGAGCCCAATGTACAAAACAGGTAAATTATCAGACTTTCATGTGCCGGTGGATTTTCAGGGTCTGAAATCTTACTGGTTTTGAGGACATAACCCAAAAATCTGAATGAAGGACCATTCACAGAAAGTCTGCAAACAATGAATGATTAAATTCCCTGTGAGTGAAAATAGCTGCTGTTACAATCAAAAATGAAATCCGAGATAGGCTACAAAAGCAAATAGTGAAGATGGGTTCCATTTGGAGGAAACTGGCTCAAAAATTAAAAGTATTTTCAGCAGTTGTTTATATATTTAATTTCCTCTATCTCTCAGATATTGGACTGGTAGCGGACAAGCCTTGGGGAAATAGAAAAAAACTCAAACAAACATCGGAAATAGATGTAAAAACTCTGCTCAAATGTTGTAAACCCTATTGATGGAAACTCCAAGGGAATGATGGGAAAATATGTCTTGCCCCAGAACAGACTGCTGTCAGGTTGGAGAAAAGTGAAGAAAGGTGGTATGTTATGACATACAGACCAGGGAGTATGTGGTTTGAACCTGAGCCTAGTGGAAAAATAAATTCTGGAAAAATAAATATTGATGGATTATTTGCCATTATTGCTGAAGACCAGCTCATGATACCAAACTCTGCATCAACTGTGGCCTCCTCTCCAACTTACTCCATTACTGTAGCCCCTGAACAAACTTCTAATGTTGCCATTCTTTGTTCAATTACAGTGAAGAGGTGTACAGACAGACATCTAAAATCCACCATTTCAGGACATTCCCAATAAGGTTTACTTAAAGCGGAAGGTAAACCCTACTGAAGAAACACAATAAATTACCTTTTTAAGAGTGTTGGAATAATGATCCATTAAATGTCACATCAAATTACATTAAAGTGGCTTGGATCTGCCTTTACATAAAATATTTTGTCCAGAAGCAAGGTCAAAATTCACAAGAAGCTTTTCTCTGGAGTTCCTGATATATATACTGTATATTGAGATAAATATTATATATACTGACTTTATGTGTATTAGTTGAACGTAACATTGCAGTTCTTCGACCCTACAATCATTTCTGAATGTCTTGATTTTGATCTGTAATGAATGCAGTTTGATCAGCTTTATATCTTATATTCCTACCAAAACAGCAAGTTTTTTTTTTCTTTTTAATCACTGTGCTTTTACAGCCAAGTAAGGAATGTCCGTAGATATGTACATTTTATTATTTCATTGTGGTTTGCAGCTCCATTTTGTTAAATTCCATTTAAAATCTCAAAATATGATTTTGCGCCATTTAAGAGGTAAATTGAACATTCCTCATAAGTGCTTGGTGAATTTTGATTGCAGTATGCCATTTGAGTCAATTAACTGGACTGATTTTGGTCTAACCAAAAATAGCATAGGCCTACTAGATGACTCACAACTCAAGAGTAAATGTTTCTGATGCCTTGCCTCTGGATATTTTCTAGTTGTACTAGCTCACTGGGTCAATTGTTTTATTGTTATGATACTGTCAAATGTACTGAGCTGTAATTTTGTTGATGATAAGTGGTTTTAGTGAAATTGTGTTTGTGTTTGTGTTGCATTTTTAAGAAAGATATAAAAAGGTGTTTATAAGAAACTGCAAGACAGTAAACATCTGCAAAAATATCATCTGTTTTGTTTATAATTGTTCAAATTATATACATGGTCTTGTTTAGGCATCAGTTTGTGGGTCCATGGTTAACAGAACAGATATCCACTTTTTGTTCTACAACAGGGCTGTTCAACCCAGGGTCCTGCAGAGTTTAGTTCCAACCCTAATTAAACACACCTGACCAAGCTAATCAAAGTATTCAGGACTATTTAAACATGATGAACAGGTGTGTTGGATAAGGGTTGGAAGTAAACTATGCAGATCACTGGCCCTCCAGGACTGGACTAGCCCTGTTCTACAAAATACATTTTTCATGGTCATATATCTTAAAACAGAGGTCCTCAATTCCAATTTTCATGCTCCATGAACTGAGCTGGGTCCCAATGCAGTGTTCACTGCTCTATATTCCCTGAGCATGTTCACTTGACACAATACATTCATTTGGACCACCCTGCAACATCATCACACACAGACGAAAATTCAGTAGTAGGTACAGTATGATGACATATACCTTTGTAAATAACAAAGAGACATATAAAAATGCATCAAGACCGGAATTGAGAACTGCTGTTTTAAAATAGTATGTGTTAAAAGGGCAGTTTACCCAAAAATGAAAAATGGTGCTATCATATACTCACCCTCATGTTGATGAACACATATTTTGAAGAATGTTGGTTACCAAACAGTTGAGGGTAGACATTCCCCCCATATTATATAGAAGTCAACTGTTTGTTTAAAAACATTCTTCAACATATCTTGTTTTGTGTTCAAGAGAAGAAAGAGAGCCATACAGGTTTGGAACAACATGAGGGTGAGTGAATTATGACAGAATTTCCATTTTTGGGTGAACTATCTCTTTAAAAACACAAAAAAATACATACTTTTGGACTACAAACTGAACTGCTCTATGCACTCACCATAAAACCCATAAGGACTGCATATTCTGTATTGAAAGAGTTCTGAATTGATGCTGTATTTGAAATCATGGTACCTGCTAGTTAGCAGAATATTCAGTCTAATTTCTGGATTTGTTACTTTTTTGATGCAAAGCTTATACATTTTTGTGGAGTGATCTGCACAGTTATTTTGACTTTTTTCTTTTTTTTCTTTATGATTTATTATTGATCAAAAGAGTCTGATTCCTGTTATCTTTGCTGGTTCTTAATACTTGGCAGAACTGAAGGTATATTTATGTTGTTTGCATATATCTAGACCGGTCGTGCTGCATTGCTCAATGTATAATTGCGTCAGTCCAAAGGCCATAATTGTAGAATTTCTCATTAGCTTGCACAAGATCTGCTTATATTGTATTAAAATTTCGAAAATAGAATTCCGTGGTGTCATTTGGTTTTGTTATATGAGCAAATCAAACCGCAAAAGCACAGAACATGATTGTTGAAGTGCTTCTTTTTTAACTGAGAGGGCCACTTTCTTGTAGCACTTTCAAATTGCTGCAAGCTTATTAATTAGGCCTTTCCACCATTTGGTAGAGGACAACCTAATGGAAATTAGGCTCTTTTACACAGAGGATTTAGCTGAATGGATTCAAGAAACACTAGAACATTCTCTTTAAGCAACAGGTCTCTTGATAAAACAACCACAACTACAACGGCATCAGCATCATCCAAATAAATGGGGCATGTTTTGGAAAGAGTAAGCAATGTGCAATCCACAGTGATGTGTAAAAGGTAATTAATTCTGAGAGTAGGCATATATTTCCTCATTCTATTGAATGACAAGCAGTAGAAATCCCAGTGAAGATAAATGAGCTCAACATGCCACCTAATGAACAGCATTAGCAACATGCAGCTATGTTCATAATCCAATAATAACACAAAACACGTCTCATTGATCCAAGTGAGGGCAGATCATTAAAAGAATGTAAATGAGACATCCTTATGATGAAATATAGATAATGAAATTCTCAGATTCTTAGAAGTCCATGCACAAAAGAAAAGAAAAAAGCTTGAGGCAGAGTAGGATGGCATGAAGAAGGGATGGCTAGACAAAGACAAGAGAGAAAAAGGGAATATATCAAGACTGAGTTGTCATGTATATTTATGCTTATTCTCCTGTGTCCGAAACATATTCACTAAGTCACTGTTAAATGCATTCAGTAAGCCATTGTTACCCAACTGTAAAGTGCAATGTAACTGATCTCCTCAGAAATGAGTACACCACTATAGTGTCAAGTACAGATGCAACATGTTCAATAAGCACTCTTTTGTTAAATAGTCTATTGATGCTGCATTTAACTATTTATCTACCTGCAAATGTCCTGTTAAATATCCTTCACAGAGTTATGTCAGGGAAGCTACTTTAAAAATCTATCCTGTATAGTGCTACAAGCTACTCAGAATTTAAAGTGATGTAGTCAGCCAGTCATTATCACAAAATAAACCCAGAGTAATTCAAGACCCCGCCCTTGCTTTGCGTTGAGGTCCTAATCACCTCATCAGGTTTATGTTGTGATCATGACTGTCTGAATGTATATTATACCACCTAGACAACTACTTAGCAAATTAAAATATGAATTGAATAAAATATTGATTTGAGTTGAATATAATTTAAAAGTTTAATAAGTGTTATTCTTTTCTGGACTAGTCAGATTACAATATTTGGTTAGCTGACCTGGTACAGCAATGCACTTGTGATGTGAAGTCCTGTAAAACGATAAAAAGATCAAAGACTTGTAAAAGCAAGCTAAAATGGCATAGCTGCCAAATGTGTTTTTATCTCACATGTGCTTTTGTCAACACTATTATGTGTTGGTGTTACATTATTTTCAAAGGCGATACAGAGCGCGCTTACAGTTTAACATCACTCGCCGGACATTTCATTTCTGAACTGCCATGATACGTATAACAACAAATGTAATAAAATATTACTGCATTTAGGTTCATCTGTTTTTGGACATTTCACTTTGGAAGTGTCACGAACCATGCAAGCCGTAATGTAATATCATTTTGTAGAAATGTTGCCACAGGCACGTTTTTCCATTGAGTCTAGGTAACAAATAGTAAACCGTTCAATAATACAACTGAACAATCTGAAATGAGAGTTCCAAAGAAACATGCAATAAAAAAAATAAGCAATGGACAAAGAATGAAATAAAGCATTGTAGCTACATTTATTAGTTCATCCCATTACTTATAATGCAACTGCATCCACACAAGAAAAAAAAAAACATCAGCATGCAGCCTACTGTATAATGAACAGTAATCAGAGAAGAACCTCCACAGGTGGCATGAGCTAGTGTTGTGCTGTTGTTATAAGCCTAAGTCTGATGTCTGT